CCTTGGAAGATCCAAGCCTTAATGTCTCTGTAAAATGGGTATAATAATACTCCCAAACTTTTGTCTGCCATGTCATTTTTTACCACAAGTTCTTTGGGGCAGGGGCTGTCTCTTCCTGTGTGTGCGCCCAGCACCTTCCACAAAGGGGCTCGAATCTTGCTTGAGGCCTATAGGTGCTACAATAATACACATAACAGCAATAAAAAGGTCTTTTCCATATGAGGCATCTCGGCTTTTGAGTAATGTATCTCAGGGTTATGATTGCCGCTCTCTTTCTGTGTGTCCCCAACTTGCAAAATCTTGGACTTACTTGGGATATTTATTTGCTGCATTATGTTTGTTTCTTCTTCTGTCATTGTTTCTCCTACCGCTTCTTTTCCTAGGGTTTAGAATATAGGTGCAGCAGCTCACTTCACAGCAGATGTTAACACTACTCCCAAGGACGAGCCAGTGGGGAGTGCTAAGGCAGAGAACAGCTGGCAGCACCTTCCCTCAGAGACCATGAATTAAATTAACGACTGAAAACATGCAATGCAACTAACCTGTAACTGTGCAGTTGCTGAAACCATCTTTTGCCTGGCTTGAAGTGCTGTTGATGAGGACATGGATATGGACATATTCTGCCTCAGCCATCTGATATCATCCCACATACAAGACAGCTGCAAAATATATGTCACAGTTCAATCCCCTTTGTTCTCAGTGCTTGAAAAGCCGGCAGCAAAAATAAAAGCATATTTGGCTTTGGAAAAATCAGTAGCTATTGTTCATTTTGAGTTTCTGTGGGTGGTACTAAAGTGGATAGTTATTGATTGGAGAGAAAGAGAGAGCGAGAAAGATACCATATCTAGCTACAGAAAGAGAGAGCATTTCATAAACAGTATGCACCTATCTCAGTTCATCTGTGAATTTTCATGTAAGATTGATTCAGTGTCCACTTGGATTCAAAAATAATGTGAAGATGTCTTTAATCCTGGACAATCAAAACACCAGTCCTCAAAACTTCTGGTCAGTGGTTAATGTTCTTTAACTCCTTCCTTCTTTCCCCAGAAGCCCTTAAATAACAGTAACTGGAAATAGGGTCATGTGGGATTAGACATCTCAGTGAATGAATTCTGCTTTGGCCAGTGCCTTCCATGCCCATCAATGGGTTAGACAGGATTTATCCCTTAAAAAATGCTAGAAGGAAAAATAATTAACCCAAGCAAAAAGTACTTAGCTTCTTCACTGCTGTTATGTTTTGTTCTGGAAACATACTAAGGTTGGAGCAATTTCTGGTACGGACCATTCATTGAGAGACAGTATATGAAATGAGGTGCCTGTTACCTTTGTGAACCACAGAAAATCTTGCATAATGGAACTGGTGTGTGAGTCATCGATTTCCACAATTGGGATTTGATCTTCATTGGTTACTAACAAGTTGTCTTTGTAATAAAATATGACAGCTATGTAGAGTCCACTGAAAGGAAGAAAGACAAACAAGAAGGTGAGCAGGCAGAGTCTCAATAGCTATCAAAATCAGCACCAAGTGTCCTGGATAGGCAAAGACACAAAGGTCCACAGGTTTTAAGGTTAGAAGGGTCACTCTTGATAATCTAGTCTGACCTCTTGCCTAATGCAGGCCATAGAACTTCACGCAGTGATTCCTGCAAAATGTGCATAGGAAATGTATTGCTCCAAATAAAGGAAACTACCACAATGTAGTTATCTATGATGCTGATCTGCACAGCTTGCTCAAGTAAAACAACCCATTGACTTCCATTTCAGCGGGAATTTTGCCTGAGTAAATAGTGCCTGATTGGGGTCATTATGTTTTCTGAAATCAATGTGCATGTTAGCATTTTGTACCAATAATGGGCCAAGTTCTGCTCTCATCCACACCAGTGTAAATCTGGAGTAACGCCACTGAAATCAACAGGGGTATTATGGATTTACATAAATGTTCCAGGGTATAATTTGGCCAGCATATCTGCAAAACTGTTCATAGAAATCATTCCTTTCAATATTTACTCTTGTAATTAGTTACATACATTAACCAGTCGCTTTAGGGAATTTAAAGACCCCAGAGAGCACTTTTGGAAGAATCAAAACTCTTATCAAAATACAAAGAAAAAAAAGCAAACAGAATGCTCTTGGTGATGAAAGAAGAAGTAATCCAGTGTGAGCAACTTTCATTTACTGAAACCAAACCATCAAGGCTCAGAGCTGCCTGGGTCACCAAGGTCGCAGAACTAGCTAAAAATATTAGGGACCTCTCAGGTGGGTTGCTTGCTGGTGAAGGGGTATTATAAATGTGCTGTCTACGCCCTACATTTTATGTCATAAACAAATAAAAGACCATTATTGAGCAGCAACAGAACCAGCATGTCAAAAACATTTAAACAACAGCATTGTGGTTTTGCGTACAAGGTTCCATGATGTTATACGTCCGCAGCCATTGACTTCAGTGTGTGCTGGCTTAGGTTCAATGAGCCTCATTTTCCACTCAGCCACCCCAGATTTTTATACCTTCATGGACTTCACCACGGTTATGTCTGATTTACTGCAACTTAAGCCACAGGAGAACATGTCCAACGCTATGTCTGAGTTGCGGTCTTTTTGGTATCTGAGCTCTCATTTGTTGCTAAATTGGCATTTTGGGAAAATGAAATATATGACAAACCGTTTCAGAGTCTTCACAAACTTGTTTGAAGAATGGAAAAGATGCTTCAGGCTCCTGGAGACTGATTGCTTGCGACCAGCATTCTGTAGTTTAGAACTTTCTAAAATGGAAAATAAAAACCAACAAAAAAAATCAGAGTGCGAACTTCAGGGATACAGTAAAATATAAAGAACATTTGTCTCATCCCATCTCATTACTTTCAGTATGTTTATGGCTATCCACAGACAAGCATTTCAGAAATGCATCCCCGTTCCTTATGTGTTCATGCTGTCGGTGATAAGGAAGATTAAAATGACCTCCTAATGCCAACAAAATCTGGAAAAAAATCTTGTTAGTTTGCTCCCAAGCACGGACGGGCCTGAACCAGTGCCATGGATCTTGAGTTTTAGGCCATTCAATATCTGGTTCTGAATTTTGCAAATGGTCCCTACAATTATAATGGGTGGAAACAGCCCCACATCTGAACGCCCTTGAATTTTATGATGCTTCCAAATTTTGTGACTTGAGCCCATCTATACTCTCAAGCTCCTAGTAATAGAACGATTGATCTCCGTGTTTTGGTTTTAAACTCGTAGAAAGGAGGGATGAGACTTACAAAAGGAACGCCAGACATTAACAATTTGGTGACATCAATAAAAGATTAGATAAGATAGTGTAAGTGTCTACATGAATACTTAGTTCGTGGCAAGCTGAGGTGTAAATCTACCCTACAGTGTGTTTGACTGTAAAAGAGCGATGGGTGGACCAGGTCTGATAACAGAAGAAATCACCCTTTTCGGCAGTTCTAAAATATTTGGTTAATGTTTTATTGGTTAAATCGCTTTTAGTTTTCTTGAGTCTTTGCTAAAATAGTGGTCTGATTTCCTTTGAAGCCAATAAAAAGACTCCCAATGGGAGTTGGGAGGAACGGTTATGAGAGTGCTCTACAAAAGATGTATGTAAATAGTTTTAGAGGATATGCCAGTAAATAGCACTCAAGAACTTGCAGCATTGTGCACAGGTTTTGTACAACCAGTAAAAGTTGCTGTTGTGCTTTGCATATTGCTTTTGGTGTATAGCTTTTTACATGCAGCTCTCAAGAGGAGCAGGCTTTCAAAACTGGTTTTACACCGATGAAACTCCATTTACTTCAATGGAGTCACTTCTATGGCCTGGTCCCCACTAAGTCCCCACTTCTGACTAAGGTACGCAAATTCAGCTACGTTAATAACGTAGCTGAATTTGAAGTACCTTAGTCCGAACTTGCCGCGGGTCCAGACGCGGCACGGAGGCTCCCTCGTCGATGCCGCGTACTCCTCTCGCCGAGCCGGAGTACCGGCGTCGACGGCGAGCACTTCCGGGATCGATTTATCGCGTCTTAACCAGACGCGATAAATTGATCCCAGAACATCGACTGCCTGCCGCCGGACCCTCCGGTAAGTGAAGACGTACCCTATTTAACACTGGTGTCAGAAAGAGGAGAATCGGTCCTGGAGAGACAAGTCTCATGGTATTTCTGGCTGATCTGGAAAGAAAGAAGGGCAGAAAATGGGAATTGTGTGAAATTACAGTTCAGTTTTAAAGGATCAGGATGTTCTGATTGATTAGATGAAGTTTGGATCAGCATCTGGACTGAACCTCCAATACATTTGTAGGTTAACCTTTCTGTGTCGGAAAAGCCTATTATCCTGCCAACTCTTTGCAGAAAACTGTTTGTTGCATGTAGCTAATCGGTCTCCTTGGATATTCTCATTTTCCTCATGCCTCTAATGCTAAATAGGAGGTGTCTGACTGTGTCTTCTTAACAAGTTCTAAGTCTGAACATTTAAATTTGTTCTTGTCAAAACCCCATCTGTGGAAGTGTTCAACATATTTTAAAATGACGAATAAATTTGCACCATAATTAGCACATTGAAGACCACAGAAAGAAGGTACATTGTTAGCATAATTATTGTTCTGCCAAACAGCAAACGCAAAGAGAACAAGTGAGGTGAATTTATTATGCAATGCTACTGTTCAGAGATGAGAAAAACTTATTAGGTCATCAAAGCCATACTCTTTCCAGTGCAAAACTCTTCTCAATAGTATTGTCTCCAGTGCTTTGTCTGATCTAGTTTTAGATGTCTCAAGCTAAGTTCTTCCCTTGGAAGATTATTCCTTTTATCATTATTTATTCTTTGCTAATTGTATTTTATTAGTGCATAAAGACCCCAACCAGATCATGTTTCCACTGGGCCAGGCTCTACAAAGACACAGGGCCAGATACTGCCCCCATTACTTATGCTGAGTAGCTGCTTACTACACAAGTATTCTCATTGACTTGAATGGGACTATGTGGGTAGTAAGCTGCTACTCACCATGAGTACAGGTAGTGAAATCTGTCCCATACTGTAAAACCATCTCATCTCCAAAGAATTTATGGATAGGATTTTCAAAAATAGTCAGTATCAGGGCTGGCTGGAAAACAAGAACTTCATTTTGTGAAAAAAATTGAGGTTGTTGCCCTTTCTTCTGCCTGATTTTGAGCAGGAATTTGAACCTGGGACTCCCACATCCCAGCTAAGTCCCTAACCACTGAGTTAATGGCTATTCAAGGGCAGGGCCGGCGCTTCCATTAAGGCGACCTAGGCAGTTGCCTAGGGTGCCAGGATTTGGGGGGTGGCATTTTGCCGCCCTTGGTGGCAATTCGGCGGCGGGGGGTCCTTCCGCGCTCCGGGTTTTCGGCGGCAATTCTGCAGCGGGTCCTTCACTCGCTCCGGGACCCGCCGCCGAAGTGCCCCGAAGACCGGGAGTGCGGAAGGGCACCCCTGCCGCAGAATTGCCGACGACGACTGGGAGTGCGGAAGGACCCCCGCCTAGGGCGCCAAAAACCCTGGCGCCGTTCTTATTCAAGGGTAGGGGTTGTTCAGCCCCCACTCTCTCTCCTTCCTCCCCCCAACGCCTTCTTCTCACTCTCCCAATTTGACCAGAAATTCCAACCTGAGCCTGAGAAAACGTCCTGACAAATTTTTCATCAACACCTAGAAGTTTCTGCCAAAAGTTTCAGTTTTGACAAATTTGGCATTTTCTGAGGAGAAAAAAACGCATTCCTGAAAAATTCCCAACCGGCTCTATTCAGCATTAGTGTAACACTGCTCCCATTGAAATCAGTGACCGCACAGTTAGGCCAACATTAAGTGCTTTTCAACATCTCAGCCTACAATCAGAGACAAGATGCAGGAGGTGGAGGGAAGCCAGGAGAAGAGTAATCTGAGCAATCATTTCACAGCTAGTTCTCCCATTATCTAATGTTTTCTTATTCTTTGTATTGCAGTAGCGGCTAGAGGCCCTAACTTGCTAGGCACTGCACACAAGAGTTGGTTCTAGCCCCAGAGAGTTTACAATCTAAATAGTCAAGACAAAGGAAGGATTATTATCCCTGTTTTACCGAGAATGAGAAACGGAGGCAGAGACAGATTAAATGAGTGGCTCAAGGAAAGCCAGGCATTGAAGCCTGTCTCCCACGCCAGTGCCTTAACTAGGGTTATTCCTTCTCTCACGACCTCTCTAGATCCAGGCTAGTGGCTAGTGTCTGGTGTCTGGCTGGTGAGTCTTGCCCACATGCTCAGGGTTTAGCTGATCGCCATATTTGGGGTCGGGAAGGAATCTTCCTCCAGGGCAGATTGGCAGAAGCCCTGGGTTTTTTTCGCCTTCCTCTGCAGAGTGGGGCACGGGTCACTTGCTGGAAGATTCTCTGCACCTTGAAGTCTTTAAACCATGATTTGAGGACTTCAATGGCTCAGACACAGGTTTGATACAGGAGTGGATGTGTGAGATTCTGTGGCCTGTATTTGCAGGAGGTCAGACTAGATGATCATAATGGTCCCTTCTGACCTTAAGGTCTATGATTCTATGAATTTACTTTTCCTTAACTTTACCCCATTACTCCAAGTAACACCCCTG